AGAGGACTAGCGATTGGGTGGAAGGGGGTGAGTGGTGGAGTGGTGGTGAATTCCTGTTGAAGTTGGCTCTCTCACACACCTGGGAAAGTCGAATAGGCGGTTTGAAGATCTGAGGCGGATCAATTTTTCGACGGTTTCCCCGAACGGACGGGGCGGTCGATTCCGCCCGCCGCCTTTCTTTGGGCGGACCACCGACCGACTGACTGACTGAGGCCGCCGGGCTGTAGTCAATTGTTACTAGTAGCCAGCTTGTGTTTGCTGCACTCCATCTGCTTGCATCAATCGCTGCGGCGTGCGATCAGCTTCCCTACTGCTACTGCTCCTACGCACTCTCTTCCCCCCACACCAACACATTACGTCGTTTGCGATCCTTGACTCTTTTACGTGTTCTCTTCTTTCTTCTCTTTCTCTTTCTGTTGACTGTTGAATTAAGCAGCTAGTTGCTTTTGCTAGATACACAATTCTAATTGTCGTCATTTCATCTGATCCTTCTTCCCTACCCTCTACCCATCCTTGTCTAGGATGATCGGATCAATACCGCCTTCGCAGTGCGACAGCTAAGCTTGTCTTGCTTTCCCTTTGACCTGCCCGCGATGGCCGATGACAATGCAGGCGGTCGCCGCGAAAGACCTTGGCATTTCCCTCTGGTACATTCTTGCCGTGTCATGTTGATTGTGTATATCCTCGGGACAGACAACTGATTACCGTCTTGTTCAGAATCGCAAGCTGCGACATCTCCAGAGCATTTCCGTTCGCAACCTCGTCGTCACGCCACCACCGATCAAACCTCGCGGGAAACCCATTGATGACGAAGATGTACCCAATTCTCTGCAGTCGCCTTCCAAAGTCCCGATCGCCGATGTAAACCATTCCCTGCACCCTTCGCGCTCCTTTACCGATCTGAAGTCGTCCGCAACCACCAACCATCGTTCCGGGGGTCATGAAACACCAACAGCAGCAGGCCCCCCATTGCGACAATGGCATCGGAGGAACACCATGCCTTGGAATGCTCCCAACCCTCGCGCGAGACAGACGAAGCTGGAAGAGATTACCAGCAGTCGCATGGCTGATACCTGGTTCTCCCTCCATTGCGACGGGATCGAGGAGCCGGTCTACGTGAGCGAACCGGTGGAGCATGCTACGAACCCCAGCTTCCGGTCGTTCGATCTCAACATGTGCGGTCCCTCGGTGTCACGACGGGATCATCTGACTGTCAAGCTCTGGGCCAAGACTCGAGCAATGGGGGACTTTGTGCTGCTGGTGGAACTGCGTTTATGCTTGCAGTCACTCCAGTTCCTGGGGAAGTCGTTGGATAGCTTCCATCAGCCGCTGCCGGCGAACTCCATCCTCTTCCACTTTGCCGACGGTGTGTACACGAATCTGACCGATATCCCACCGGTCCTGCCTGCTGTGCCCGCACACCACGCCAAAGCGGCAGATGGCGTGGCGATGTCGACCTCGTCGTACGAGGCCCTCATGAAACTGGCCAATCTGGACGAGTGTATCCAGGATGCGCTCACAACCAGGGACCGGATTGAGGCGCAGATCAATTCGATCCTCGAGAGGGAGCAGCGCGGGGTGACCGCCGCCGGGAAACTCTCGCAGGCTCGGAACAAACTCGCAGTCACCAAGCATGCCATTGCTACCGAGCGCAAGCATCTCCACAGTGCTGCAAGGCGAAGGGATGAATTGGTCAATAGCATCAAGACCAGAAGAGTGGCCATGGAGCATGGGCGTGATGTCCAAGCCAAGGCCAAGAGCCACCTTCCCGATGCGCAATCGAAACTGAGCTCAAGTGCCGGGCTACTGGACAAGAACACCGAGGACTCCAAGGGTCAGATCCGGCGTATCTCGGAGGACTTGCTGGCGGTCTACCCGATCGAGCCCATTTACAACAAGCCACTTGCATTCACTATCGCAGGCCTGGCTCTACCCAACTCGGATTTCACCGACGTCGACCGCGACGAGGTGGCGGCGGCTCTTGGATATACCGCCCACCTAGTCTACCTTCTCTCCTTCTATCTCTCCACCCCGATCCCCTACCCGATCAATCCGTATCTGTCGCGCTCGTTCATCCAGGACCCGGTGTCTGCATCGCTGCCCCAGAGGACCTTCCCGCTCCACCCGGCCAGCGTGCAGTACCGATTCGAGTACGGCGTGTTTCTTCTGAACAAGAACATCGAGTTCTTGCTGAATGTACAGGGTCTACGCGTCCTGGACATCCGCCATACCCTTCCTAATCTCAAATATCTGCTCTACGTGCTCACGGCCGGCACGTCGGAGATTCCGGCCCGCAAGGCGGGAGGCATTCGCGGGCTTCTCCCGGGACGATTGACTCCCAGCATGTCTCGACGCGGCAGCGAAGACAGCGTGGCGACGCGCGCGTCGGTCGTATCTCGCAAGGCGATGATGAGTCCCGCCCCGAAGATGAACGGGAGTCTGGTGATCGATCGGGCCAAGCCGACGACGACCATCCCTAGCTTCCCCGACACGGCTGCGTCTTCGGTCGCCTGAGCAGAGCGCAAGTGCCTGCCAACATTGACTCTGGAGTGAATGCTTGGCCCTTTTTGTAAATCCCGAGGGGGTGGGCGCATATTATCTAATATTTCTACTTGTTGGTGTAAGACATGAGAGTGTTTGTGTTTTTTTTTTCTCTTGTTCTTGAAATTCTTCTATCGGATGAATTCCATTGGAGAGTGCTACATCAGTTGGATTAGCGTGACTGTGATTGGGGGGTTGGTTCAGTTCCCTTGATCCGCCTTATCGCAGACGGCCATTGCACAGATGAGGGCGGTAGGTCTCTTTCTCACCTCCCAGCTTTGTTCGTGTACTGTACATATATTATCCATTCGGATGTCCTGGGTATCCACTGTATCTGTAGGAGATGAAAGACTATTGACCGACCTGCAATGCAGCCCGTGAAGCATATATACATTCGGCAGTCACCGCTGGTTTTTTCCTCATCCAGGCGGTTATGGATCCCGTGATCAATGATGAGTAGGAATAGCCCGGAGTTTATTGGGATTACGATTGATAACAGATACAAGCCAGCATTCAGTCAGAGGCTGGCGATGTGTTTTTACCCCGCATTCTCAGCTGACGGAAGAACTGTCCGGGTGGTGTTGGTTCGAGATGGTGCATCTTGAAGGGCATAAGTTAATGTAATGAATGTTGTCGCTACTATTCTGGGGAGAAAGGAGAATTAGTGTGTTGTTCAATTGTTGAAACTGGATTTCTTGTTTTTCTCCCATTCCCTCACTCCCACTCTCACTCTCTCTCTCTCTCTCCGCCTTTTGAGAGAAGGTTGCGTCTCCACTGACTTCTTTGCCTTTCTTTGGCGGTCTCTGGAGGGAGACTAAGGTAAACTTTCCGAGGGAAAGTGAGTGAGTGGGTGTATGTGTGGGTTTGTGTGTGGGTTGGGTTGGTGAGAAGATCAGAGAGCACTGCAGGACTAAAGCGAGAGAGCGATAAGGGAAAAAGAAAGAAAGGTTGCTTCTGCTGCTGCTGCTGCTGCTGCTGCTGCTGCTGCTGCTGCTGCCTGGGGCCGGAAAGACCACAACAAACGGTTGTGCTGCTGGTTCTTCTGTTGCTGTTCCCGGCCTTTCTCTCTCTCTCTGCAGTGTCCCTGCCTCCGTCCTCCCTTATTATTATTTTTCCTCCTTCTCCCCCCACCGCTTTTTCTCGCTTTGCATCGGCATTTCCCCCCTCCCCCCCTTCTCCCGCCCTCTCGGTCGCTGTCCGTACTCCGACATAGGAGAGTCATCATGGCAGCACCTGCGAATACCGGCCCTCAGGAGCCTCTCTATTCGCACAACGGGCAAGACCAGAGTCAGAAGTCTCCATCGCCCCAGTCTCAGTCCCTGTCCCAGGCCCAGTCTCAGCATCGTCGTGGATACCAGGCCTGCGACCCGTGCCGAAAGCGCAAGGTGAAGTGCGACCTTGGCAGTAAGAGATCCCCTCCCCTCTATTTTTTTTCTTACCTTTCATTTGTGTTCCCCGGAATTCTCACTAGAATTATGCGGTCGCGAATATTTACTGTATTGGAGAAAGACAACTAATCTTCTCACTTATTATCTCCTCAGGTGTGGATAATCCTCGTCCTCCTCCTTGTGTGCGATGTCGCCGCGAAAGCAAACGTTGCGAGTTCTCCGCGACGAGGCGCAAGCGCAAGCCCTCGGACGCAGACGAGACGGAGGATGGCCTTCGTCGCGATAAGCGGATGATGGTCGGAGAGGTCATCTCCAGCCACGGCTCGAACAACAGCGATGGATCGCCGTATATACCCTCACTGGAGCATGCGTCCTCTTCGGTTGCCACTGCTGCTGCTGCGGCACCTACGGCGCTAGACAACAACAACAACAACAACAACAACAACAACAACAACCACACCCCCGGCCATCCGCGACTCAAGTGGTCGGAAAGCTCACCCACGGCTGGTCAATTACCACCACCAACGGTCGGCAGCCACCACCAGCGTTACACTACTACCACCTCTACCACCTCCACCACCAATCCGACCTCCACCTCCACCAATAACCCCCAGTCCACGCCTGCAGCGCATTTCGCGGATGCGCGGAGTAACCGTCTGTCGGTCTTCTCGGCCGCGGAGAGGAGCCATGCGCCCAGTTTTAGCCTCGAGGGCGGCCAGCCCATGATGAACCGCACCGCCGTCGAGCTGCTGTCGCCGGCCATCAGCAACAGTCACGACGCCCTGCACCTCCTGTCCGAAGCCGCCG